GCTTGCTGTTCCTCTGGCAGTGCAGGAGGACACCGTGTTTTAAGCAGCTGCGTAGCTCTCGGGATTTGCTGCTGCTCGTTGAGAGCTGGTGCGCTCCGGCCAGGCAGGGGACTGAGCCAGAGTTTGCCAGCTTCTGGCCCCTTCAGCTCAGCCTGGCTGCTGAGGGCAGCGGGACGAAGATGAAAGTTAACAAGGAAAATTTATTTTCTGCTGCACTGCTGGAGCAAAGGGCTTGTGCAGGGTGTGATCAGGTGAGGAAAGGAACGAGACAGCAGGGATGGGAGAGGAAAGAACGGGAAGAGGGCAGTTGTTGGGTCAGCTCTGCTATATGGCGTAACTTCACCCTCAGCTTTGTAGCGGTCCCCGTGACTTAAACTCCCCTTTTGCCCTCCGAGAAAATGAACCGCTTCTGCCTAGTAGTTGCACAGCAAGTGCTGGAGAGCTGGTGCCTGCAGGTGAGGGACCTTTGCGGGACTTTATGACCTCCCGTGGCTCCTTAAGCCCTTTGGGACCAGTGCACCCTGCAGAGCTCATCCTTGCCACCATGCAGAGGAGGCGACACGGGCTGCCCTGCTCTGGCTAGGACGTTCCTTCCTCAGTTGTTACGCTTCAGATTTTTTTCTTTAATCCTTTAAATTAAGCGTTGTTGCTGCTAGAACCTGTCCTAATTCTGTACTTCTAAAAGCACCCTCTTCTTTTTTTTTGTTTGGTAGATCTCCGAAGCTGGGAAGGACTCCTTGCCTTCTTGGTTACACTGGAACGCAGAGAGCAGCTTCCTGGAAGGGCTGCCCCTTGACACGGACAAGGGCGTCCACTACATCTCGGTGACCACGCTGCAGCCCTTCCCGAATGGGAGCTATGTGCCACAGACTGCAAACGTCTTCTCCGTTGAGGTCCACCAAGAAGACCACAACGAGCCTCAGTCAGTACGAGCGGCCGTCCAAGACACAGGTGACACAGCGCCATTTGTGTGCGGCTCTGAAGAGCCAGTCACTATCCTGACTGTCATTTTGGATGCCGACTTAACAAAAATGACACCAAAGCAGAGGATTGAACTCTTAAACAGAATGAGAAGCTTCTCGGAGGTGGAACTTCATAACATGAAGTTGGTTCCTGTTGTAAATAACAGACTCTTTGACATGTCAGCCTTCATGGCCGGACCAGGAAATGCAAAGAAAGTGGTGGAAAACGGGGCCTTACTCTCATGGAAACTGGGATGTTCTCTGAGCCAAAACAGTGTTCCCAACATCAGCAAGGTGGAGGCTCCAGCTAAGGAAGGAACCATGTCTGCCCGCCTTGGCTACCCTGTTGTTGGCTGGCACATTGCGAACAAGAAACCTCACCTCCCAAAGAGGATGCGGCGGCAGATCAACGCCACCCCTACGCCTTTGACTGCCGTCGGGCCGCCCACCACTGCCGCGCAAGAACCGCCGACCAGGATTGTCCCCACCCCAACGTCACCTGCCATCGCGCCTCCTACAGAGACGACGGCACCCCCCGTCCGGGAGCCCATACCGCTGCCGAGGAAGCCTACCGTCACCATCAGAACGAGGGGCCCCATCGTCCAGACGCCCACTCTGGGACCGATCCAGCCAACCAGGGTAGCAGAAGGCACCGGCACGGCCACCGTGCCGATTCGCCCCACGATGCCCGGGTACGTAGAGCCCACCGCGGTGATCACGCCGCCCACAACTACCACCAAGAAACCGAGAGTCTCCACTCTGAAGCCAGCCACACCGTCCACGACGGATTCCTCCACGGCGACAACGCGAAGGCCCACTCGAAGACCCAAAACTCCCCGTCCGACGAAGCCTCCCAGCACGACCAGATCCCCCATCTCCAAGTTGACAACGGCCTCCCCGCCAACCCACGTGCGCACCACAGCAAGCGGGATTCCCCGGCCCTGGGAGCCAAACGAGCCACCCAAGTTGACGAACCACATCGACAGGGTCGATGCATGGGAGGGCACCTACTTCGAGGTTAAAATACCATCAGATACCTTCTACGACAAGGAAGATACCACCACTGACAAACTGCAGCTGACCTTGAAGCTGAAGGAGCAGCAGATGATAGAGGAGAATTCGTGGGTGCAGTTCAACAGCACCAGCCAGCTCATGTACGGCATGCCGGACCACAACCACATCGGGAAGCACGAGTACTTCATGTACGCAACCGACAAAGGCGGGCTCTTCGCTGTGGATGCTTTCGAAATCCACGTCCACAAACGCCCGCATGGGGATAAGTCACCGGTGAAGTTCAAGGCCAGGCTGGAAGGGGACCACAACGCGGTGGTGAACGACATCAATAAGAAGATCATGCTGGTGAAGAAGCTGGCTCTGGCCTTCGGTGACAGGAACAGCAGCACCATCACGGTGCAGGACATCGCCAGAGGCTCCATCGTAGTGGAGTGGACGAACAACACGCTGCCCCTGGAGCCCTGCCCCCGGGAGCAGATCCGGACTTTGAGCAAAAAAATTGCGGATGACTCCGGCGGGCCGAGCCCAGCTTTCTCCAACATCTTGCAGCCCGAGTTCAAGCCTCTGAATGTGTCGGTGGTCGGCTCCGGCAGCTGCAGGCACATCCAGTTCATCCCGGTGACGAAGGACGGAAGGGTGATCTCAGAGGCGACGCCAACGGTGGCGGCGGGCAAAGACCCCGAGAAGAGCAGCGAGGACGACGTGTACCTGCACACCGTCATCCCTGCCGTGGTGGTGGCCGCCATCCTCCTCGTGGCCGGCATCATCGCCATGATCTGCTACCGCAAGAAGAGGAAAGGGAAGCTGACCATCGAAGACCAGGCCACCTTCATAAAGAAAGGCGTGCCCATCATCTTCGCCGACGAGCTGGACGACTCCAAGCCTCCGCCGTCCTCCAGCATGCCCCTCATCCTCCAGGAGGAGAAAGCCCCGCTGCCCCCCCCGGAGTACCCCAACCAGAGCATGCCGGAGACCACGCCGCTCAACCAGGACACCATCGGGGAGTACACGCCGCTGCGGGACGAGGACCCCAACGCGCCGCCCTACCAGCCTCCCCCCCCTTTCACCGCACCCATGGAAGGGAAAGGCTCCCGCCCGAAGAACATGACCCCGTACAGGTCCCCGCCGCCCTACGTGCCCCCTTAACGAACGGGAGGCTCTCGGGGGGAGAAGGGGCCTCCAGCTCCACGCCAGTGCTGTCTGTGGGCCGGCAGCCCCCCTCGCCAGCCGGGAACCCGAAACCCCAGCCCGCTCCCCAGCAGGCCCTCCCCGGCTGCGCCCGCCGCACCGGAGTGCTCGTGGGATTCGGGGGGACACTCGTTTTATTTTTGCCTAACAAGCTTTGGTTTTATTTTATTCATAGAAAAAATTCTCGGCTCAAACACGCCTTCCTGGCGTCTGGGCTCCTGGCCGGGGCCGGGGTGGCGGGCAGGGAGGGGGGACGGGATGGGACGGGTCGGGTCGGGACGGGACGGGAGGAGCAGGCAGCACTGGGGTAGCACTCTGGGTCTCCGCTGTTTGCCTTTAACACTAACTGTACTGTTTTTTCTATTCACGTGTGTCTAGCTACAGGACGTAACATGAAAGGTAGCCTAAAAGTAATTAAATTCAAGGGACTTTCTGAAGTCGGATGTTTTAAGTTTTTACATTTAATCTGCTGTTTACCTAAACTGGGATGTGTAGTTTTGGGGAGGGGGAGGGCAGTGCTGTGCTGCAGGCGAGCTCCCCGGGGTGATTCGGGGCTGGTTAGGGGGAGGCCCACGAGGAGAGCCAGCCACCTCCTCCTCCTCGCGGGGACTGGCTTCTTGGTTCGGGGTTTGATTCTTTTTTTTTTTTTTAATCAAATCTTATTTTTCTCACGCATCATAGAATAGTCATCCGTTGAGTCAGACTGGCTTGGGGTACCTGTGGCTAAGCGCGGGGGCAGCTGCCCGCACCCCGGGGTGCCGCGCTGAGCCGGACCCCGTGCCGTGACGGCTTCTCCCACTTCCCAGCGAGCGCTGGGGTTTGGGGTGGTCTTTTTTAAGCAAAGCCCCCCTTCCCCATGAGGTGTTTTGGTGACAGTGGGGTGTTTTCTCCGTAACACAGTGCCGGGCTCTTTGCCTTGATGACTCCTTGAGAGTGGTGCGGGAACGGCCGCGCCGGCCCCTGGCTCCGGGCTACACGCCTCCTCCGGTTGCTCTGCGCCCGGATGCTGCTGGAAAAGATAAAAAGTTTAAAAAAAAAAAAAAAAAAAAAAGAAGAAAAAAAAAAAAAGGCAAAAAAAAAGCGTGCCAGAATAGTTAATAGTCAAAAAAAATCAGTGAACTCTCAAATCTAATTTTTTACTAAATTTTTGATACAGCCTCAAATTGTTTTATTAAAAAAAGACTTAAAAACCGGTGTACCGCTGCCAGCAGTTTGTACGAGCTTAGCTTTCCTAGTACCAGCTCCCTGGGACCCGCCGGGCTTGGCTGAGTCGTGGGGTGCCCCCGGCTGCCCCCCGCCCCTCTTCCTTCACTTTATAGATATTCTTTTTTCTCTCCTTCGCGCTCAACCATTTTAAGCATGGATTTACTTCTGTTGTGTTTTCCCGGAGCGTTCTTTGGGGTACGGTGGGGAGGGAGGAGAAGTAACCCCTGTGGGTGTTTGGGGGGGGGGGTGTCCCAGCGCCCCTGAGGGGACGGCGCGCTCCCGCGGCCGGGTGGGCGAGGGCCCTGCCTCCGCTGGCGGGGGGGTCTCCGGGGAGTGTGTGTGTGTGTTTGGGGGGGGGGGGGGGGTGTTGGCCCTTCCTCCCCTCCCGCTCGACTTTCGGCGTGGCGGGGGGGTTGGTTTCCGCGTTGTGTAAAAGAACCGTTCGCAGTCAATAAAGCGTGTGCTCTACCCCGCCCGCCTCTGCCAGCGCCGCGGCGGGACCGGCCGGGACCGGGGCGGGCGGGGGCGCGGCGCCCCCTGGCGGCGCACGCGGGGTTGGCCGCTTCTGGGCGGGGCGGCGTGTGACGTCACCGCGCACGGAGTTAGGCGGGGGGGTGTGAGGCCCCGCCCAGGAGGGGCGGCCGCGTTGCGCCGCCATGTCGGGAGCGGCGGGGCCGGGGCCGGGGCCGGGCCGCACCCCGCTGCCCTGCGCCCCCCGCCCCGCCGCCGCGCTCCAGCTGGGCGGGGGGGCCGAGCCGGCGCGGCCCGGCGTCGCCGTCATCGATCTTCGCTTCCCCCGCGGCGCCGCCGCCGATGTGAGTGCGGCCTGGCCTGGGGGGGCTGCCGGGGATGGGCGGGCGTGGAGCCGGTCCCGGTGCGGGAGGGGGGATGCCGGGGGCCGGCAAGATCCCAGTATGGGGGGTGAGGGGGATGCTGGGGTGGTACCGGGGCTGGGGATGCCGGGGGCAGCGCCGGTGCTCGGGGTGTTGTGAGGGGCAGCAGCCGTGCCGGTGCTGGGCGGGGTGCTGGGGGCGGTCCGCGGCCCGGTATGGAGGGGGAGGGAGGGATGCCGGTGCCCGTGCCCGTGCCGGTGGTGGGGAGGATGCCGGTGCTAGTACCGGGGGGGGGGGCTGGGATGCCGGTGCGGGTGCCGGTGGCGGTAAGGGGGGGTGCCGGTGCCGGTGCGGGGGGATGCCGGTGCCGGAATGGGGGGGTGCCGGTGCGGGGGCTGAGGCCGCCGGTCCCGCAGGTGCAGGAGATCGTCTTCAGGAACTTCTACACGGCCTTCCTGAGCGTGCGGGTGCAGCGGCCCGGCCCCCCCGGCTCCCGCCGCTGGGTGACCTGCCTGCGGGACCACTGCCTGATGCCCTGCCCGCACACCGAGCAGGGCTCCCAGGACTACTTCTCCCTCCGCCGCCACCAGGTCGGCACGGCCGGGACGTCACCCGCACCCCTGGGGCTCACCCCTCTTTGCCCACAACCCCAGGACAGCTCCCGGGCCTGGGGACCCCGTGCCGATACCCCACGGTGCCTCTCCTGCCCCTGCCAACCCTTCTCAGCACCGAGGATCCCCATGCTGGCGTGGCCCCTGTCCTGCTCTGCCCAAACAGCCACCGTCAGGGCACATTTCCCTCAGGCTCCTTCTACCCGGGGCGGGGGGGTGTTGGGGTTTTTCAGGGAGGAAATCCCAAAAGCTAACCCCGGACCGGCGCCTGGCCAGCCCCTGCGGTGACAGGTCCCCCCGGCCTTCCCCCGGCAGATGCTGTGTGACATGGACCAGGTGACGGCGGTGCGGTTCATCCTGCGGCAGCCCTCCCCGGTCTGGCTCCATTTCACCATCGAGGAGCTGCAGATTTTCCCTCCCGGACAGAAGGTGAGCGGGTGTCGGTGCTGCCCTCCCTGCCAGGCACCCAGCCCTGCGCCTGCCATTGCTCCCCGCAGCTCTGGGGGCTTCAGGCTCCCTCCAGAGGACACAGCAGGGTGGGTCCAAATCCTTGTCCTCTGGTGGGGCGCTTGGGGTCCTCTTGTATGGCAGGAGCTGGGGGAGGAGCTGCTCAAGCCAGCCCCAGCCCTGCCCGTTTCAGAGGCAGATGTTTGTCTGAGCAGCAGGACGGAGCTGGAGGTTGCTGCAACAAATTATGGATTGCAAACAACTGCTCCAAACTCGAAATTCCCTTTAATGATGTTTAAGTAACACTTACATCAATCGCAATGTAAATATGGGTGGGCTCCAAACCACAGCACGCTGCATGGTGTGAGAGGTGGAGGTGGGACTGGGGACACACTTGTGCGACCCTCTGAATCTGTTTCAGAGCCCCCAGAAGGATTTCCCCTCCTGGCTCTCCCAGGTGACCCCTCCGGAGCAGCCAGCCAGCCTGCACAGGGTGAGTGATCCCTGCTGAGGTATTAGGGGGAAGGAGGGACCTATGTGAGGTGCCAGCCATGGGTGCAAGTGTCCCTTGTGAAGCTGCTGCCCCAGTCCTTGCCCCATCAGCACCAGACCCTCACCAGGAATAGCTGTGGAGCCCCAAAATAACCTGCCTCGTGCTGGAAGTAGTTTGCAGCGTTCAGAAAAAAAATATCTCTGCGGGGTTGAGCGATTTGAGGTGACGCTTAAGTCTACTTGCCCTCTAACCTGGGGACAGGAACGTCCCCGTGGGAGAGGTGGGTGGGACGTGTGGGGACGGGGTGGCCTGGCTGGTCCCTGGTGTTTTGCAGAGGGCTGCGCCCTGGGGAGCGCGTCGCCCAGCCGGGGCAGCACGTGGGCGGAGGGAGGTCCCAGCCGTGGCGCGTGTTTACAGCTTGTGAGCCACATCTGCCCATGGCCTCCGGTGAGCAAAGTCTGGGCCGAGCAGGGCAGGGGCAGACACCCGGCTCGCCCACGGAAACCTGCTGAGTCAGCCACTGGCACTGCCGGCCCGGGAGCGGTGCCACGCCACCCAGCACCTCCCACGCAGTTCTGCCACCGGGCTTCGGTGCTACGGCGCTTACACCGCGGTGGCAGCAAGGCTTCTGCCAGCCCCGGCAGGTCTGGGAGCTCCGGTCACTGCCCAGCACTCTGTCAGGCCAGGGAGGACACCCCCGGTCCCTCGCTTGGATCACGTCCCCCTTGGCAAGGGGTGGTCCGGGAGTGATGCTGGGGGTTGCTCTGGGCTTGGCTGTTCCCAGCATCACCACGAGGTACCCACCAGCAGCCGGGCGCCGCGGGCACGGCCGGGGAGCAGCGGCGCAGAGCTTTGCCCTGGCCTGGAGAGCTGCTGCTGAGCCCGCAGGCCCCGCCTGGCTAAAGGTCCCCGGGGAACTGGCTCCTGCAGCGGGGTTTCTGTCACCAGACCCGGGGAGCGCCGCGGAGAGAGGCTGTTGGGAAACTCTGGACTGTGCGATTAGCTTTTTAATCATTAGCCAGCAATCTGCTTTCTGTCCTCGCCCTGGACGCCTGCCAAGCAGAGACGGGCTGTGTCGGCACCGCGGCACCCGGCGCTCAGGGTCACCCGTTTCCCCAGCTGCCTGTTTTCCTAGAGCGGGGGCCCTGCTCACCCTGCGTTGGGAAGCCACGGGCAGGTTGGCAGCGTGGGCACCGTCACGGCTCCCCGGGGGGGGTGGGGGTGCAGAGCCATCCGGCCATGCCGCTGCCCAAGCCCGGGGTGATCCAGCCCATCCCCACTCTCCAGCATCGTCCCCGCTTCTTTCCAGGAGCTCCCCGACCCGGAGAAGGTGTCAACGGAGGTCCAGCAAATGTGGGTGCTGACAGAGGTGATCCGGGCTCGCCAGGCAGCTGCCCGCATCGGGCGCTTCGACGTGAGTCCCCCCGCCTCTGCTCACAGGGGCTCCGGCCTCGCTGGGGGAGCCCTCCCGGCGGGATGGGGTGGGGTGTCCCGGCAGAGCAGCGGTGCTGTGCAGGGCCCCACAGTTGCTCTCTTTTCCAGGTGGACGGCTGCTACGATATCAACCTGCTTTCCTACACGTGAGCCGGCCAGAAGGAGCCGGCTCCTCCGCGCTCCTGGGGCCCAAGCGGACTCCCGAATCGGCCTTCATCCCTGCGGCCCCCGGGGGGGGTCTCCGGGCGCTCCCCGCGCCCCTTCCCCGACTCCTGCCGCGCTGATTGGCGGGGGGGGGGGGGGGGGGGGGACAGCGCTGCCGCCCTGGATTCCCCCCCCCGTGAGCCTCTCGCAGGTCGGCGCCTTCCAGTTGCGGTGGCTTCAGCTCTCGCACATCCCGTGCCGCTGCGGGCAGCGCCCGGCTCCCCAACCCGAACCTCTGCCCTGGGGCGCGGCCCCTGGCCCCCTCTGCAAGACAGTGGGGTCCCGGCGGGAGGGGGTGGCGGGGAGAGCCTTGGTCACGACTAAAAGCTGCTACGTTGGTCCTGCTTGTGACTGCCTCTGTCTTTGGCGGGGGGGGGGGAAGGGGGGCCGTGCCGCGGCAGGACCCGCACCCAGCGTCTCCCCGGGGCGGGGAGGCGTTGCGGGGGGTGGGGCGGGGGCCGGGCGGACTCCATGTCCCAGGGGCCCCGGGGCCCGGACTCGATGTCCCAGGGGCCCCGGGGCAGGAGCGGGCCGCGCCAGGAAAAGAGGAAGGGAGGATGCTGCGGGTGGGCTGCCGCGCCGCGCTGCCCCGCCGCCCCCCGGGCTCCGCGCCGCTGAGCGGGGCCGGGGGGAGCGCGGAGGGGCTGAAGCGGACACCGCTGGACGCCCTGCACCGCTCCCGCGGCGGGCGGATGGTGCCGTTCGCCGGCTGGAGCCTGCCGCTGCACTACGGGCAGGGCCACCTCCAGTCCCACCTGCACACCCGCCGGCACTGCTCCCTCTTCGATGTCTCCCACATGCCGCAGGTAGCCGGGGGGGGGTTGGGGGGGCGGGGAGAGGCACCCAAACTCCCTCACGCAACCCCCACCCCCCCCCCGCACACACACACACACCCGACCCCTTCCAGACCCGGGTGTATGGCCGGGACCGTGTCAAGTTCATGGAGAGCCTGGTGGTGGGGGACATCGCCGAGCTGAAGGCAGATCAGGTACGGGGGAGGTGGGGGGGCAGCGGGCGTCCAGCGGGGTCAGAAGTCCCCCAGGGACCTTTGCGGGGGGGGGGGGGGCGGTGGAGGACGGGCGGCCCACCCGCCCTCCCGAGGGCTGCGTCCCGCAGGGCACCCTGACGCTGCTCACCAACGAGAGGGGCGGCATCGTGGACGACCTCATCGTCACCAACACGTCGGAAGATCACCTCTACGTGGTGTCCAACGCCGGCTGCGCCGACAAGGACTTGGCCATCATGAGGGTACGGGGCTGCCTGAGCCCCGCGGAAGGCGGGGGGGGACGCGCTGGGAATGAGTGTCCCCCCACACCTTTCGGTGACGGCCGTGGCCACGTGTGGGGCTGGCACCAGCCCGGCCCCCCATGCTAGCCGCCCGCTGTCCCTTTGGCAGGGCAGAGCGGCGGAGCTGCGGGCCACCGGCGGTGATGTCCACCTGGAAGTGTCGGACAACGCGCTGCTGGCTCTGCAAGGTAGCGGGGGCCCCACGTGAGCCTGCCCGCCTCCGGGTCCTTGCCCAATGGATGTCAGTGCCCTCCCCGCATCCTCCCCCCCTCCCCCCCCTTTTTTCCCAGACACTGCCATCCCCGAGAGCCACTTGCCTCCCCAGGTCCCTCCATGGCACGGGTGCTGCAGGCTGGGCTGTCGGATGACCTAGCCAAGCTCTCCTTCATGAATAGCATCACCACGACGGTCTTCGGCGTCTCGGGCTGCCGAGTCACGCGCTGCGGCTACACCGGCGAGGATGGTGTAGAGGTACCCTGGGAGCTGCGCCAGCCCCCCACCCCCGCCAACCCCACCGGTACCACAGCAGGGGAAGGCCATGCCCCACTGACCCTGGCTCTGTGTCGTCCCCCCCCAGATCTCGGTGCCCGCAGGGCGGGCGGTGGAACTGGCCGAGCGGCTGCTGGGTGTCCCCGAGGTGTGGCCAGCGGGGCTGGCGGCCAGGGACAGCCTGCGCCTGGAAGCCGGGCTCTGCCTCTACGGCAACGACATCGACGAGACCACCACGCCTGCCGAGGCCGGGCTGCTGTGGACCTTGGGTAGGTCACGGCCACGGCTGCCCCCCACCTCCTCCTCGGGGCAGGAAGCGGGGCAAGGCAGCCCCACGTCCCCAACGGGGCATATTGGGACCAGGGTGGGCATCGCTGACCCTCGCCCATCTCTGCCCCGCAGGGAAGCGCCGGCGCACGGCCATGGACTTCCCCGGCGCGGCTATCATCATGGCGCAAGTGAAAGAGAAGCCGAAGCGCAAGCGCGTGGGGCTGACGTCGGAGGGACCCCCCATCCGTTCCCACACGGCCATCCTGGGCCCCGAGGGCACGCCTGTGGGTAGGTGGGGGTAGCGGGGCTGGTGCGGGCACAGCCCTGAGCTGCACCCATGGCAGGGTAGGGGGCTGGGGCTGTCACACACCCCCCCCACACTCACCTCCCTGTGTCCCCGCATCCCCAGGCACAGTGACCAGCGGCTGCCCCTCACCCTCCCTGGGGAAGAACATCGCCATGGGCTATGTGGAGGCGGCGCACAGCCGGGCTGGCACCGCGCTCGCTGTCGAGGTGCGGAAGAAGCAGCACCCGGCCCTCGTCACCAAGATGCCCTTCGTGCCCACCCAGTACTACACGGCCAAGTGAGGCCAGTGCCGGCCGCCCTGGCCCCAATAAACACCCCTGCCCCGCTCTCCTGGCCTCCTCCCCGGTGCCGGCGGCGAGTGCCAAAGGCAGGGGCGGCGGGTGGGGCACAGCGCTTTAATGGTGCGGGCAGCGCCCGGTGCTCCCGGTGCGCCTCACTCCCGGTGAGTCTTCGCTGGCTCCGCCGCCGGGCCCTCCCTGCAAGAGAGGGGCAGCGTGAGCAGGGCTGGGGCAGCACCCCGGCACAGCACCCCGGCACAGCACCCCGGCACAGCACCCCGGCACCCACCTGCCTGCGTGGGGCGGGCAGGGCTGGAGCTGCACTTACTGGGGCGCAGTGGTCAGGGGGTACGGATGGGAGGGCGTTCACTGGGGTGTACTGGTTCGGGGGTGAAGCCAGGGGGGTACATGCTGGGGTGCACTGGTCCGGTGGCACAACCCGGACACTCTCTGGGATGTACTGGTCCGGGGGCGCAGCCGGGGGGGGCACCCCTGCTATGTGCTGGGAGTGTGGCCAGGAGGGCGCTCACTGGGGTGCACCGGTCTGGTGGCACAACCCGCACACGCTCTGGGCCGTACTGGTCCGGGGTTGCAACCGGGAGGGCGCTCACCGGGACGTACTGGGCGGGGGGGGGGGGGGGGGCGCTGACTGGGGTGCAGTGGCCCGGAGGGGCAGCCGCGGGGGCCGGGGGGGGGCAGCGGTCGCGGTCGGGACTCACCGGGGCGGGCAGTGCCGCTCGGCAGCGCCGTTGCGTCCGGCGGGGCCGGCGGGGGAGAGGGAGTGCGCGCGGGGCCGGGCGGGCCCGAGGCCGGTGCCGGTGCCCGGGGGCCGGCGGGCGGCGGGTCCCGGCCGGTAGCAGAGCGCGGCCACCGCCCCGCCGTAGGCGCGCCAGGCCAGGCGGACGCCCAGCAGGCTGAGGCCCAGCCAGAGCAGCAGCAGCTGGCACAGCGCGGCCCGCACGTCCTGAGCCGCCCACTCGGCCGCCAGCTCCCGGCCCAGCGCGCCCAGCGCCCGCCACGGGCCCGGCCAGCCCGCCGCCGCCATGGCTGCGCCGCCCGGGGCGGGGCGGGGCCGGGGGGCGGGGCCTGCGGCGCGGGCGGGGGCGGGGCCGTCGGCGGGGGGCGGGGCTCCTCCCGGGGGCGGGGCCAGTGTGGTGGACGGGGCCGTCATGGCGGGAACCGGCGAGGAGGGGCTGTATTCGCGGCAGCTGTGCGTGTGGGGACCGGCACCGGCACCGGCACCGGCGGCGGGGGGGCGGGTCCCCGGGCTCCGCTGACGGCCCCCTGCCCCGCAGGTACGTGCTGGGCGGCGGGGCGCGGCGGCTGGCCGCGGCGGCGGTGCTGGTGTCGGGGCTGCGCGGAACGGGAGCGCAGGCGGCGGCGGCGCTGGTGCTGGCGGGGACCGGGCGCGTCGTCCTGCACGACCGTGGCACCGCCTGCACCGCCGACCGCGCCCAGCAGGTACCGGCGGGGCCGCACCGGGCACGGGTGCGAGTGGGGGTGGCGGTAGCGGGTGCAGGGACGGGTGGGGATCCTGGGAATAGGTACGGACACGGGTGCTGGTCTTGGGTACGTGTACGGGTGGGGGTCCCGGTGCTGGGTACAGAGACGGGCAGGGATCGCGGCACAGGTGCAGATGGGGTTCCCAGTACGGGTACAGGTATGATGGGGGTCCCCATAACAAGTATGGGTACAGACGGGGGTCCCGGTACTGGTGAGGGTACGGGTGAAGGTGGATGTCACGCTAATGGGGGATCCCTGTGACAGGTATGGGTGTGGGGTGGGGGATCTACCAGGAACACACACAAGTTGAGGGTTCTGGAGTGGGAGTGGTCCTTGAGCGTGGAGTGGGAGGTCCCTGTCATGGGTGTGGCCCAGGGTGTCCCTCCTCATCAGGGGTGGGGCCCGCGGGGTGTCCCGTGTCACAGGTAAGGGCACCAGCAGAGGGCCCCCCACCAATGCAGACGGGGCCCCAGGCTGTAGTGAGCAGCACCCCAAACCCATGGGGTGCCCCGGCACGTGCCCGCCCCGCAGTTCCTCCTGGGGGAGAGCGACATAGGTCGGAACCGTGCCGAGGCATCCCAGCGGGCCCTGGCCGAGCTGAACCCCGGCGTCGTGGTGGCAGCTCACACCGGGGAGCTGTCGGAGGCTTTCCTCGCCTCCTTCCAGGTGAGCCCGTGCCCCCACCCCCCGGGACCCCCCGGGACGGTGGCACCCGCTGACGGCCCCGGCGCAGGTGGTGGTGCTGACCGAGTCCCCGCTGGAGGAGCAGCTCCGCGTCGGGGACTTCTGTCATGCCCGGGGCATCTGCTTCATTGTGGCCGACGCCAAGGGGCTGGCGGGGTAAGGGGGCTCTGCCACAGGGTCCTGCCAAAGGCGCCGGGTCACCTTGTCCCCAGAGCGTCCAGCCCAGCTCTGCAGCCAATGTTCCCGTCCCAGGGGGGCCTGGCAGGGGCTCAGGCAGCTTGGCTCCTCCGGTAAAACCCCCTTGGTGTTCTCCAGGCAGCTGTTCTGCGATTTTGGGGAGCGCTTCGTTGTCAACGACCCAGCAGAAGGGGACCCGGTGCGTGCTGCCGTGCAGCACATCTCTCAGGTGGGAGGGCAGCCTCAGCAGGCTCCCCCAAAACGCCGCTGCCTCCTCCAGTGGCTTTATGCCAGTCCCCCCCACCCTCACATCTCTTCTCCTCCTCAGGGCAACCCGGGCGTGGTGACGTGCATGGCAGCAGAGGACAGCCGCGACGACTTCTTCTGTGATGGTGACCTGGTGACGTTTTCTGGCGTGGAGGGGATGACAGAGCTGAATGGCCGGGAGCCTGTCCCTGTGCGCGTGCTGGGTGAGCCGCCCAGGGGGGTCCCGGCTGCCCCGGCTCAGGGTTGGGGATCTCTCCGGGTCCTCAGCAATGACCGTGATGCCCGTTCCTGTCTCATCCCCAGATGACTTAAGGCTGGAGATCGGCGACACCAGCTCCTTCTCACCCTACCGCCGGGGGGGCCTGGTTTTGCAGGTGCGGCTCCCCCAGGTGCAGTCCTACGTAAGTCCCCCTCCCCCTTGGCCCCTGTGGTGCTGCCGCCCGGGCTGCGGCACCGCCACGCCGTGCCGTGCCCCGGCCCCGGGGAGGCGCCCACCCTGAGCCCTGGTGCTGTGCTGGCAGGTGCCCCTGCGCCAGGCACTGGCGAAGCCCAAGATCCAGGTGACGAGTCCCAAGGAGCTGCCGCGCAGCCTCAGCCTGCACACCGCCTTCCAGGCCCTGCATGCTTTCCGCAGGGAGCAGGACTGCCTGCCCCGGCCCAGGGCACCGGTAAGTCCCCGTCCTGCCTCTGCCCAGCCCCCCCGGTCCCCCACACACCCTGCTCATAGCTGTCCTCGCCCCTCTGCCCACAGGCAGATGCCAAGAGGGTGCTGGAGCTGGCGCGGAACCTGGGGGTGCGGCACGGTCCCTTGGACGAGGACGTGGTGCGAGCCTTCACCAGCGTGTGTGCGGGGGATCTGTGCCCCGTGGCTGCTGTTGTCGGGGCTCTGGCAGCCCAGGAGGTGCTGAAGGTGAGCGGGTTGGGGGTCCCAGACTCTGGGGTCCCCCTGGTCATGCTCTGCATGGCTGACCAGCAGCGTTTGGTGACCACGAGAGGGCACTTGCTGCCCGCCTGGGGATGCTGGGCCAGGCAGCAGGGCTGGGGTGCGGTACGGGGGGGACCCCGCTGACCACGGAGCCGATGGGACCCCATTCACCCCAGGCCATCACCGGGAAGTTCCTGCCCCTGGACCAGTGGTTGTACTTCGATGCCCTGGAGTGCCTGGCACTGGAGGGGGTTGCGCAGCTGACGGAGGAGGACTGCGCCCCGGTGAGAACCCGTGCCGAGCCCCTCCCGGGAGCGGGGGGGTGCTGTGGCTGCCCGCACTGACGCAGCTCCGCCGTCCCGGCAGAGGGGCTCTCGCTACGATGGCCAGATCGCCGTCTTCGGGGCTGCCTTCCAGGAGCAGCTGGGCCACCAGAAGTACTTGGTGGTGAGCCGGGGTGGGTGCCACGGCACTGGGAGAGGCTGCGGAGCGGCCAGCTGGCACCCAGGGAGCTGCAGCGACTCTGCCCTGGCAGGTGGGAGCCGGCGCCATCGGCTGCGAGCTGCTGAAAAATTTTGCCATGATGGGGCTGGCGGCGGGGCCGGGCGGGGACCTCACCGTCACTGACATGGACACCATCGCCCTCTCCAACCTCCATCGGCAGCTCCTCTACCGCTCAGCAGATATATCGGTGAGGCGCTGGGAGGCGGGGGCCGAGCTCCCCCCAAAGGGCACCTTGGCTGTTCTGGGGGCTTTTGTGGGGCCATGGGGCAGAGGAGAGCTGCACACGCCCTCTCTGCCCCGGCAGAAGCCGAAGTCGGTGGTGGCCGCGGCGGCCGTGCGGCGCATGAACCCCGATGTCAGGGTGACGGCTCACCAGAACCAGGTGGGACCTGCCACCGAGCAGCTCTACGGGGGCAACTTCTTCCGGCGCCTGGACGGTGTTGCCAGCGCCCTGGACACGATGGAGGCCCGTGAGTGCTGGGGAGGGGAAAGTGGTCGAACCCTGGGATGTGTCCCCTGGCTCCCCAGCACCCCTGGCTCCCCACAGGCGCCTACTTGGAGAGCTGCTGCCACCGCTGCCTCACACCGCTGCTGGACTCGGGCACCGAGGGGCCGCGGGGGAACGTGCTGCTCATGATTCCCTCCGTGACCAAGCCACTGGTGCCGGCCGGTGACCCCGAGGACGACACCTTCCCCCTCTGCACCCTGCGGTACTTCCCCTGCACCATCCAGCACACGCTGCAGGTAGGCTGTGCCGCGCTGGCCCCAGCACCCGGCGAGGAAGCCCTGGCACCTTTGTCTTCCTTTCCCGTTTCCCGCTCCGGCCACGGCCTGGCAGCGGGCCACGGGCAGGATACGGCCCCAGCTGCTTCCTGCCGGCAGCCCGAGCTCTGCCACCGGCCCGGCATGGCCTCTCCCACCCCCTGGGCTTGGGCTGGGGGTCCTGGGGGGCACAAGGAGGGGGGCCCAATGCTCAACCCCCACTCCCCCTCCGCAGTGGGCCCGCGATGAGTTTGAGGGACTCTTCCAGCTGCCCGCGGAGCACGTCAACCGGTTCATGGAGTGAGTGGGCTTGAGGGAGCGGCGCCGGGAGAACGGCTGCCAGCCGTGTCCGGGCACTGCCTGCCACTGCCGGGGTTGGGGAGAGGGGGACAGACCGCCGCATCCCGCCCGGCGTGTCCCATGGGATTGGTCCTGGGCTAGCAGCAGCAGCGCCTGGTTTTGCAGGGACCCGGCTTTCCCGGAGCAGCTGCCGGCCAGGAAGGCCCTGGAGGTCCTGGAGCAAGTGCGGGGCAGCCTGTGGGAGCGGCCGCGGGACTGGCAGGACTGCGTGCGCTGGGCCCGCCGGCACTGGCAGAGCCGCTACCACGATGCCATCGCCCAGCTGCTGCACTTCTTCCCCCCGGAGCACGTGAGGCCGGCGCCCGTGGGGCTGGCACCCCCAGGACCCTCTCCCCTCTGCCAGCCATCCCACCGCAGCCGGGGGAACAGTGTCCCCAAGCCTGACCCTGCTTTCTCTGTGCCAGGAAACCAGTCCGGGTGTCCCCTTCTGGGCAGGGGACAGGATCTGTCCCCATCCGCTGACGTTCGACCCTGACAATGTGAGTGCAGGGGAGAGCCACGGGGCCCCCCGCCGGGGACAGTGCAGGCAGGGGGGGACAGCGGAGCCTGTGCCAGGAGTATGGTGGATGCTGGACCGTAGTTGTTCTCCATCTGCCACAGCCTGTGCAGGGCTGCCAGGTCCTGGGCTGGGTCTGTCCCTGTCTCCGGGTCAGCCGAGGCACTGCTGGACACAGCCCACGCGTGCTCTGCCACAGGAGGAGGAGGGGGAGAGGCACCCCCACCTCCACCTGGGGCAAAGTGGGCAGCTTTTGGCTGGGGGGGCTGGGGGACCACCCCGGCTGCCCAGGGTGCTCTGCCCCTGCAGGACACCCACCTGGAGTACATCCTGGCTGCTGCCCACCTCTTTGCCCAAGCACACAAGCTGCCGCCATGCCGCGA